CTCTCATGCAAAAGCGTTGCAAAATGATTCACAACAAATCACAGCCGCCTCATGCAAATTTGGGCAGCTCATATCCAGCCCATTCGTAGCAGTGAGGGCTGTCCCGCTGGCTGGCAGGCAGCTTGGAAAGTTAATTATCTGCAGAAGGGGTAATTGCATTTTGTTGCGGAGAACTGGCAGTCGGGACAGGGTAAATACAGGGAACAATAGGCACAGGCAGAGCCAGAGGGGAGGTTGTGGGTTTAGGGGCAGAAACCAATGATAAGGTGGGGTGAATCTTGAATAGCAACAGTGAGGTGTTTGGGAGGAGAGGAGAAGCACAAGGGGTGAGAACTGTGGGGAAGGTGGTCCTGGGGCTGGGAAAGAGGACAAACCACTGAAATTGCAGGGAGCCAATTATGAGGCCTGGAGGATGGGAGAGATACAGGGACTGCGTGGGGACGAGCCAAACCCCATGGACTAGGATCTATCCCAATGCATTTCCACAAACTCAAGCCATTTCTCAAACTCCCAACCCCAGTTTGCTGGCAGAGCCTTTCCCCCTGAGCAGAGCAATCATTAAGAGAACTTCATGCTCACCCAACGGGTGGGGTAAACAAGATCCTTCCAACAATGTTGCTGACCAAACACCTCTCCTGCCTGTTGGGCCAGCTGTGCCCTGTTATGGGAAGGTCATCATCTAGGGCCACTGCATGGACATTTCACTCAGCTTCTGCTCCAGCTCCCCCAGTTCAGTATGCCCAGAGTCCGCAAGTATCCAACCCTGCAGCCCTTTGTGGAGCTGGGGAAGGATTTTTCCCCCTCTTCCCACTTGGTCCTCCTAAAAGTTTTGCAGGATTTAATACAAAATTTCATCACAATTTTATCCAGCAGTTCAATAATTGTGGTACTTCAGCCATTTCTGAAATGGACAACAGCTCTGCAAGAGGAGGACTTAATAGAAAGTTCATTCCTTATTTAAAAGCCAGAATAAAGTTATCTGGGGTGAAATTAAATTGTGTCAGCATAGAGCCAGGGAAGCAAAGGAGCGTGGGGGCCTTGGGGCACCCTGGCTGTGCACATCCTTGGGCTGCAGGGCGGCTTTCCTGAGACATTATTTCAATGCAGACACCCCCAAAAGCAAAGCATTCCCCACAGTTAATCCTGTACAAGTTGATTTTTTTTTTCTTTGCTCAAAAGGAAACAGCTTGTGCCGTGCCAGAAATAAATGTTTTCTTTCTGATTATTCTCACTGTTGAACGTTCATAAAGTGGAGAAGCCAGCGGCAAAGAATGTCAGACGTGTCTGCTAAGGGGTTAACATTTGTAAGATGAATGCTGCAAGAACTTTTTTTTTTTTTTTAATTAAAAAATATATTTCTGGAGCAAAAACACAAGCAATAAAGAGTGTTTGCCTGTTGGGAGGCTTGTTTTGTAATGCGGTATGAATAACCAGCTGACAATCCCGTTTTGTGTTTTCTCTTAGTATGGCCAATGGCCAAGAGCCAGCCAACTTTATTGTCCTTGAAATGTCATGATTTTGAGTATGCACAGAATCCTTAACTGCCCAAATTACTGCATAACATTCCTTTTTATTATATGGCAACAATGTGATCCTGGGCTCAAAGACTTACTAGTTAAGAAGATTATGTGTTTTCCTTTTTCTGTTTTGTTAAAGTGCCAAGTCTTGCATTTTTGGCATCTTCTAAAGAATGAAATGTCTTCTGAAATATTCTCTCAGAGCACAGAAGTTACCTCAGAGGAGCTCAGAAATACAGCGCTTTTCAATACTTTCTCATTTACTCAGAAGTTCAGACGCATTTCTTTTCCTCAAAAGCTTCCAATTTTTTCCTCTTTGTGCATACTGACAGCAAAAAAAGATTGTCCTTCATAACTTTGCGTGGTGTTACTCTGACGCTAATTTATCTCCCTTTCCCCCTTCCCAAGCATTGCGAGTAGGAATAGGCCCGGTCTCCCCACAGACATGGCTGTGCCATGCTGCCGGGACACGGCCAAGTGTTTGTGCAAGAGGCCAAGGCGTGGGACCAGTGGCACCGGCACTGGGTCTGCCCACTGCCATACTAATGCCATTTAGTACCATAACCATGTGCATCTGTACAGGTTAGGGACTGACCTGTTGGAGAGGAGCTCTGCAGAGAGGGGGCTGTGTGTCCTGGTGGACAACAGATGGCCATGAGCCAGCAGTGTGCCCCCGTGGCCGAGGAGGACAATGATTTCCTGGGGAGCATGAAAAACAGCGAGGCCAGCAGGTGGAGGGGGGTGATCCTCCCTCTCTATTCCGCCCTGGTGAGGCCACAGCTGGAGCGCTGTGTTCCATTCTGGGCTCCCCAGTTCAAGAAAGACAAGGATCCCCTAGAGAGAGTCCAGCGCAGGGCCACAAAGATGGTGAGGGGCCTGGAGCATCTCCTGTATGAGGAAAGGCTGAGAGACCCGGGGCTGAAAGGGGATGTTAAAAATACTTATAAACATCTGCAGTATGGGAGTAAAGAGGATGGGGCCTGGCTCCCTTCAGTGGTGCCCAGCAACAGAACACGGGGCAATGGGCACAAACTGGCACACAGAAGTTCCATCTGAACATGAGGAAAAACTGCTTTACTGTGAGGGTGACAGAGCACTGGAACAGGCTGCCCAGAGGTTGTGGAGTACCCTTCTCAACCTGCTGCAGGCAACCTGCTTTGGCAGGGGGTTGGACTTGATGACCTCCTGAAGTCCCTTCCAACGCCTACAATTCTGTGACTGTATGATTTCCATACTAAAGCCATTTCCTGTATAGACTGGCCACCAGGGAAAACTGCTGTCTATGGCTCAGCTGTATTCCTGGAAGAGCTGTGACTGCACTTGTGCTGTTCTGAACACAGCATTTCCAGTACATGCTCCTTCCCCCATGCCCCACACAGGGGCTGTGCCCCCACCCTGTACCCCCAGCCACACATAGCAGCACAAAGCAGCACGAGCCAGCTCTGCTTGGCGTCAGGAAACAGCCTGCGAGCCAATAAAAGTGGGCTGAAATGCAAATATAGCATTTCTTGTAAAGTAAATTAAGCTAACAACGCGGTAACAAACCGCTGTTAATATTAGATTAACTTGTTTGGCAAGATATGAAATCAGAGGAGCTGGGTTGTCAATAGCGGAGTGTTCAATAATGCTAATGCTGCTCGGGGAAGTATAACATCCATCTGAAACACAGATGCACGCACACAAAAATTAAGACTGGAGGAAGAGCCAGAATCCGAGCAGCAATTACACCAGCATTAAAGATGGATAGAGAGGAAGGTTGAGATTTTTGATTGCCTTTAAATACCGCCTCGTTTTTAATCTCAGAACCAGGCTGCACTGTGATCAGCCATTAGCCCTGATTTAAAAAAAAAAAAGAAGATCCCAGATTTCAACATTTGCAGCATGAACTCAATATATCGCTTTGATCTGAGCTAAGGAGGCAAATGGAAGCTAATTCGGAGGCTGAAGCCAGCTGTGTGTGTGTGGGATGGGCAGAGGAGTCACCCAGAGCCACATCCCCAGCACTGGCTCTGAGACAGAGGCGTAAATGTCACACGGAACGGCAGTGGTCACTAAACTGATTAAGCAGTGGTTATCTTTAGCAGTAAAAAGGCTATCTGCTAATACTAAGTGATTAGAGTCTAAAATGCCATTTACTCTGCTCTGATTCCTTGAATGAATATTTATGCCAAGTGATGACTATAACACCATCAAAAGGTTCTCCTGCTCTGTTCTTTAGAGTGGAAGTGATTATTCAACAGCAGGTCTGCGCTCCAGCACTTGTTTCTATTAAGCAAATTTGCAGCATTCAGGCAAAAAATCCTGATTGCATCGTCCTCCTGGGAGTTTTATTTTTAAAGAACTGGCACTCCCAGCACTCCCAAGGGCACGTGCTGCTGCAGGTGGGCCGTGTCCACAGCCCAAGGACAGGAGAGGGTGACAGGGATGCTGCACGATTTCTCCATTGTATTCTGTGTGAGCCAGGATTTAACTGAACCTTTCAGGATAGGAATCCCTTCCTGGGCAATGGTGCTCTGTGCTTTGCTCTCATGTCCCCAGCCCCAACTTCCTCGACACCACATCACCATGCTGCCAGTGCCATAGGAGCCACTGAGACGTGATCTTAGTAGAGTTGTTTCAACTCACCCATCCCAGTCACCACTCCATCAGCCATTCTTTTCTCTTGCACTGTCTTCTGCTCCTCTCCCCACTCCTGGTTGTTGGTTGGCTTAACCTGTTAGATTGCTGCATATCAAGAAAAAAAACAACAAACCACTTCTATCACTATTCTGCAGCGCACCCTCATCCCAACCTGCTTCCTTCTTATCATCCTTCCATCATCAGTTAATCATACAAAAAACATTTTTGCCTTATAGCAAAGGAAAAATATTCAGTATTCTTAACCTCAGGCCAATGAAACCTGGGCCTAGAGGAGCTTTTGACCAGCAAGGCGTCGATTCCCTAAGTTTGATCTTAAAGCTCAGGCACTACGCTGTCGATGAAATAAATGTTTCAGTGACACATAAAATCTTTAAGGTTGGAAAGACCACTAAGATCATCCAGCTCAACCAGTCCATGCCTGTGACCACTCCATATCACGTTCCTCATGTGACATCCACCCTTTTTTGACCTTTGTCAACAAAAAAGCTAACAGTTACGAGTTGAAAAAGGTCTAAATGCTTACCTTCAAAGAAGTATCTACAGTTTTACATGTAAGTATCACAGAATCATTAAGGATAAAGACCACGAAGATCATCCATTTCAACCCCAACCAACCCCCACCATACTCACATCCTTAAGTGCCTCATCTCCACGTTTCTTGAACACCTCCATGGACAATGACTCCACCACATCCCTGTGCAGCCTGTTCACGTGTGGAACCCCCCTGCTTTATTTACTCAGGTCCCAGGAATATCTGTACATGTGTTTAAAACCTGCTTGTCATCAAGCCTAGGAAATATGGCCTTTCACCACATGAACAAACCACAGCTAAGATGACCAGGAAACATTCATAATTTTTAATTCACACCAGTAATAAAATTGCATTACATTTTTCATAAAATAAATGTTCCAGTTTATATACAGAAAACAGACTGTACAGAGCCCTCCCCCAGACCCCGGAAACTCACAAACATACAGGCAATGCAGTGCTCAGCTAAGCAGGCACAACTGTACATCTAAAATTGTAACTGCTTTGTGTTGGGGGTGGGGGGAAAGTACTACAATGTATATAGTCCTCTCTGGACCAGAATTAAAAAAATATTGCAGGCAAGCTGACAGACGGCTGGCTGCTGGCGCGGCCGGGCGCCCATCCACAGTGCTCCAGCGAAGCAGGGATCGCTATTGAACCTGGGACTCGAAGCTCCCGTTCAGCTGCCCTTCCTCATAGTCCATCTGACACAAGATCATGTTGTTCTTCAGGAAAAACTTGTCTCCCACACAGAACCTGAAAGACAGACAGAATTAACCGGTTTCAGTACGCACAGGAGTTTTGGCACCGTGATTTTATTACTGAAGGAAAGGACACGCTGCTTGGAGCGGAGGGCAACCAGGGCAGGCTGGGGCTGAGGTAGCTGAGCGGGACATCCCTGCAGATGGAGCTCCAGGTGATGTTACAGAGCCTGTGTGAGGCCTGTGTTGGTCCCGTGCTTCCCCAGCTCCCCTCGGTAAGGCATTATTTGCACTCATTTCCAGGCAAGGACTGGCTATTAAGTCCTTCCTCACCCCCTTGTGTACAGTGCTGAACAACAAATAGAAATTTCCTGATGGCTGGGCTCCTAACCTTTATCTTCATTGAGCGAAGGGCACCGCTCTCCATATACCATGTAAATTGTTCTGTTTGTATTGAAGTTGACAGAGAGGCTTGTGATATTTAACAATTTTATTTGACCATTAAGGTCAAAAAAGTTCCACATATAATATCGGAGAGGTATAAATTGACAGCCTGTAGCTTTTTCACCCTGTCTGCTTGCTGAAGAGTTAGAAGCTCATCTTTTCTTCTTAAGATAACAAATAATGCCCTTAGAGCCTGGTTCAGGGGATGCTGTGTCCACCTTGCCAATGGGACGAGGACATTGCAGAGCCTACCACAGCCCCAAGTGCTGGGTCCCAGCCGCATGGCTCGAGTGAGCACTGAGTCCGCACTTCTCTCTGTCTCTGCTTTACTAATTCTGAAATTCATCTATTTTTTTTTCTGCATTAAAACGCTAGAAATCAATCTCACTTTGAATTAACAGCTTTTAAGCTGAGAGCCGTACTGCTCACACAGTCCTGAAAGCCACATGCTCCACCAGCAGTCGAAGAACAGACACAGCTGACTGCATTCTGCTGCTCCTCGTTACCCTGAGCTTAACAGAAGCCTCCAAAGAGAAACGTAGAAGCGACTCTTGCCACCAGCCCCCCTGGCTGCCTCTCCTCAGACCTGGTTGCTGTGTTGAGGGGCTGGGGGTGCGCATGGCACTGCCAGGAACGGCCAGGGGTCCCCTGAGCCCTGATGTCCCGGGAGAGGGGCTGGTTGCATAGGGAAGGGTGTGCCTCCTGGAACCTGCAAGCCCAGATTTGGAGAATGAGGCTAATGAAAACACGACGTGCTCTGTATCAATATTAGATTTTGCTCGGATGCATTTAACGCTCTGTACACAGACACAGCCAAAGGAAGCTGGAAGAGAACTAGAGGAGAGGAGCCTTCACCACCAAACCCTTTTGTAGCTGGAGAAGGAGGTGGGTGCTCCATCCCAAAGGCACTTGGGCACCCACGTCTGCAGCTCTAATTCCAGTTTGACCTAAACTCATGGTTCTCACTTCAGCCTCCCGTGCTGCTGTTACAAGAATGCTTCCACACCACCTTTTGGGGCCGGGATCTCTAGAGGATAAGCCATAGAAGTCCGTAGAATGACATCTAAAAGAACGCAGCTCCCACTCCGGAAATGGAACCTCGGTCGCACTACGCCTTTGCAGGAGGGATGCGAGAGTAAAGAGGGGTTTAGTGACAAAACCTCACCCTCGGGGCTCCCTGTATCGCAGCCAGCAGGGACCACGGCACGGGAACGGCGGGAAGGAACCGTCCCGGAGCCGCTAGGGGTCAGTGCCGCCCGCCGCCGCCGCGCCGGGAGCCGGGCACGGGCAGCAGCCGGCCGCACCGCCTCGGTGCTGTGCGGACAGGGCTGTAACGCAGCCCGCGTTGGTGCGTGCAATAACCGCGTCCTTACCGCTGGTTGCAGAGCTGACAGGCGAAGCAGTCCAAATGGTAAACATTATCTCTGGCCCTCATCACCATCTCAAAGGCAGGGATCAGCTTACTGCAGGCAGCGCAATTCCCGGTGGTACCAAACAGCCTGCCAAAGAAGCACGATCATTAGAAGCCATTTTAATTAAATGGTGGAAGGACTAATTAAGTGTAATTAGCGGTATCAAATACTGTATTGCACCAATAAATAGAAGTCGCGGTCTCCATTTCGCTGACCAACCAGTGTGCAGGAGCTCGGGCTAAAGCTGCCTGCTGAGCGGGCTGCGATCATCCAGACGAAAACTTCATTTGGATTGCACGCCCAGGGCTAATTTGCTGTCTAATGGAGAAAAGCATTAAACACTCGCAGCACAATTTTGGGGCTCACAAAATTTCAGTCAAAAGCTCTCCTTGCCCCCATGGCTCTGCCAGCCCAGCAGGCAGCACCGCCATGCTGCTGCTGGGGAAGAACCTTGCTCACTCAATGCTGAAAGCACAGCAGCACGCTTTTCCTGGTGATGGGTACAGCACCAGTTTGCAAAGCTTCTGGAGGAGGGCGAGCCCTGCTCCCCGGTTGTGCATCCCTCCCGGGAGTGGCTCAGTGCCATACCAAGCCCTGACCAGCGTGCTTTGCTGTTCCACTTCAGCTCCCCGACCCTCGAGGACAGCCCCTCGGCACTGTAGGCTCTGCCATTTCCATCTTGCTTTTCACTATCTGTCTCTCCAGATGTCTGCTGCTGTTACAGCTCCCGCCGGGGACTCAGCCAAGACAGCAATGTCCTCCCCTTGGCCCCATCTCTGAGCCATCCTCGCCAACCCACAGACCACCGCCACACAGACCAGCCATGGCGCCAATCAACAGACCAACAGCACCAGGTCAGTGTGCATTTGGTCAGCTGCTTTGCTCTGGGGATGACAAATACCCTCAGAGTGAGGCAGGATGGCTACTGCACCCTGTTAGCCCTGTGTGTGCCACGCACTGCTGCCTGCAGACAGATGCAGGCTCCCAGCTCGTTTCGAGCCATTGGTTCTGGCCAATTCCACAACGCACAGACCAGGAAAATCTATAACCAATTTCTAAACATGCAATTTGCCAAGCTGATCAATATTAATTATTACTGGCCAGTAATTGTGAACTACAACACTCAGCAATGTTATAGAAACCTTCACATAACTCCCACCCGCACTGTGCTGTGCAACCAAAGCAAGCTTACTGCCAAGCTAGAGAAAAAGCTGCCCTTGTTTGTCAGGTACCAGAGGCCTTTCATCCCACCTGGTGGAAGAAGCCCGAGAGTGTCTTGAATCACAGAATGGCTTAGGTTAGAGGAGACCTCCATCCATTTCTAACCCCCTGCCATGGGCAGGGCTGCCTCCCACCAGCCCAGGACCCATCCAGCCTGGCCTGGAGCACCTCCACGGATGGGGCACCCACAGCTTCTCTGGGCAGCTGTGCCAGTGCCTCACTGCCCTCTGAGTAAAGAGCTCCTTCCTAACATCCAACTTCAATCTTTCTCCTTTAGTTTAAAGCCATTCCCCTTTGTCCTATCACCCTCAGACTGTGTAAAAAGTTGATCCACCCCTTGCTTATAAACTCCTTGAAGCAGCAGCATGTTCTCCCCAAAACTTAAACAATGCAAACCAAAAGGAAGCACTGGCACTACTTGCATGGACCCAGGAGTTGGACTCAGTGACCCTTACGGGTCCCTTCCAACTTGGGATCTTCTATGATACCATGCTGCAGGATGGAAAAGTTGCAATGGGAGAACTCCATACTCTTCCCCTGAGACTCTATCAAATGATGACTGAAGGAGAGAGGAAAGCCTCAACTCTGCACTTCCAACAGCCGCCTTGCCCTGCCAAACTCAAGCCATGCAACCTGCTGTGGGAGCACTTTACTTCCCATGGGCCAGCACTGCAGCAGCAGGCTGGGAAACGCTGCACAGAGACGCACCCGGCTCTGCACCCTGCAGTGCTCGGCCCCCATCCAGCACCATCCACAAATCAGCGCAGCCCCCTGCCCCCTCCCCTGCCCGAGTGCCTCCCTTCAGCATGGCGAGACCTGATGGCTTTGTGGGGTTTTGTCACTGTCACAAAACCAGGCGTGCGTTTTTAGAGCGCCCAAGTCACAGCAAACTCAAAAAAAAATGAGCCCGATCCATTAGGCTGGGAGACTGGGAGGTTAATCCTAGATTTGCTCTGTGCCCGGCGCTGCTACGCGCACAAGTGTAAAATATCCATTATTCATTAGCATCACCGTTGTGTGGAGCTCAATCTAGATTAAACAAAATAAAGGGGCCCCAGACAGCACCATTTGCATTGTTAAGCAGGCGCTTTTCTTCAGCCTTCAAATAGGAGACTTTTCTAAATGGAAATGATGGGGAAATTTGGACAGATGTTCACTTAACTATTTAAACAGTTAGCTTAAGAAACATGAAAAATGTATTTGGCATCGTGTTCACCTGTCTCCTTTCAGGGGGCTGGGGGTGCACCGATTGTTAAACAGCTCTGACTGTTTGCATAAGATCTACAGCTTATGTTCAGTCCGGCTGAAACCACGTCGCCTCCGATGTCTACACAGCTCCGATGCACAGCCGGCCCATGTGCTGATCTTTCCCTTTTCTAGCAAGTTTCACAGCCCTCCGTCCCTGCCTTTCCCAATCGGAGAGCATTTCGCACTTATTCCAGCACACCCTGATTTGAATCTGCTTCCCAGAGAGCCATTTAGAGCCCTGTGTATTCAGCACGCTTCTAAAAATATGCTGCGGTTTGTAGCTCAATGAGCAAGAAACAAACTTTTTTTTTTTAATCTGCTTGAAGAAAAGCAAAATGAACATGGACTTCTGCCTTTTTTTTTTTTTCTTCCTTGTGACAAACCTGCCACCTCTGACCCCTCCTTACCCAGCACCAACTGGAGCTGAAATCCAAGGTGGGGAAAGCTGAGCGTTGCTGGACGAGGGAGTGGATGAAAGCCCTCCACCACGAGCCCCATCTGTGGGTAAATTCCAAACAACCCCACATGAACAAACTGATCTGCAGCCTGTCCCCCAGGCACCTTCACAACAGATGCGATGCTTTCTCACACACTCACACGCACAAAGTTCAAGCGCTTTAGAAAAAATCTGTCAGGAGATGCTCAGCATCTACTTACCAGCTTGGTGCCAATGGCTTAAAAGAAGCTGGAAATACAGAAAGGTTTCACTCTGGAGCTGTTTTGCTGCTTCTAAAAACACTTTTTTTTAAAAAAAATCTCCCTTTTTGAAGTTAAAAGGCAACGATTTTAAAGCACAGATTTATTTATTCCCCTTTATGTAACAAGAAGACCTAGCCAGCTTGTAAATAAGCACAGACTATGCAGATTTAAAATTTAACACAATTAAACTTTTACCCTGTGGTAGTAATTATGTTTAATGGCTCTTAGCCTGAACTTAACCACGTCTATTGTTGTCAGCCAGTCTAAAAGCAGGAGTTTGTCCAAGGACAATTTTCTGTAGTTTATAGGCACACTAAAAACCTCGCTATGCACTGTTCTCATTGGCCGCTGATGTCAGTGTGCACAGTAAAAATTAAAGCTAATTGGCATACAGGAGCAGCAGTGAATGCAAATGAATTAATGGGAAACGAGGGGAGCACTCCTGGAAGCAGCATGCAACGATTGAAGGGTGCTTTTTAGGTAAAGTTTTGTTTGTGCTCAAGAGTAGCCTTCTGCACAAAGACTTCACCAGCTCTAAGAATACACCTGAACTTGATTCCAAGCATACTAAAGTCATTGGCACCCTGCAGGTTTGGGGAGGAGAACAGAATGGCAAGGAGTCCATACTGCAGGAAAATGGAAGAATATGCCTCATAAGATGACTTTAAGTTTGGCATCTCGTTACAGACTTCCTTCCTTCTCAAGCCAAATTGTGCCACTGGGCTGAACTGTGAACTCCGTTATCTATTTCTGTCAGCTCTAGAAACAGCAATCTGTGCTACAAGGAAGGAATCCCTGCTCCTTATCTTCCCTCTGACCTGGTGGCTGCTACATGGTCCATCAAGAAAGAGGAAGAACATTTTCCCTCAGTGCAGAGAGAAAATATTGGAGCTGCTGACTTCAATAAAGGAAAGAAAAAAAAGGAATGAGGACAGGCAAATGTAAAGAATGGATGGTACACAATGGATGGGTTGGGGGTTTGCATTTTTTTTACTTAAAGCAACACAAGTTCAAGATTAAACTGCTGAGTTGAGACTGAGAATTGCCCCAAAACAATAGGCTTTCTCAACAAAAAAGCTAACGATTATGAACTGAAAAAGGTCTCCAACACTAATCTACAAAGAAGTATCTACATTTTTTACATTTAAGTATCATAGAATTGTTAAGGTTGGAAAAGACCACTACGATCATCCATTCTAACCACCAACCCAAACCCACCATGCCCACTATCCATGTCCCTCAGGGCCACAGCTCCACATTTCTTGAACACCTCCAGGCACGGTGACTCTACCACCTCCCTGGGCAGCTGTGCCAGTGCCTCACCACTTTTTCGGAGAACAAATTTTTCCTAATGTCCAGCCTGAACAGCCCTTGGTGCAACCTGACATCATTCCCTCTTTTCCTATCACTGTTACCTAAGAAAAAGGCTGACCAAATCTCAGTGCTAGAAAAAGTGGATTTCCGACCTTACAATTTGAAACAGACCAACAAACAGCCATTAGCAGCTTGCAATTAATATTTCTCCTGTCTGAGGATACTGAAAATATGCTGAGCCAGAAGTACTGAACACACCAGTTATTGCAGGGAAGCCTGAACATCACTTGACAAGATAAAAAAGATGAACCTTAAAAGCAGCTTCAAACGTGAGGATTCCGACTTCCCTGTAATCAGAATTTGTGTAACACTCAGCAAAAGGCCTCACAATGGGCACTTCAGCACAGTACGTACACATAAGCTGGGGCACCCTCCTCTCCAGGGCACTGCTGTCGGTGCCGCAGTGGGAGGTCATGGCAGAGGGGGCAGAGGAGGTGCATTTTGATTCTAATGAAGCTGGTCAAGCTGTCCTCCTGTGATGCCTTCAAGTTCAGCCTCAAGGAACTTCCATCCTATATGCCCAAGGGTTTGTCATTCATGGGCATCGTAACGGGAGGACCTGAACCACTCAGTATCGCAGCCCTCTGGCTGTGTGACCGCACTAGTTCTGAGATCACTGGGCATAAACTTCAAGGTTGCTCAAGGGCATATGTTTCCAGATGAAGAATACAGATGGATGTTCACTTATTTTTCCTCCTTTTGTCTCTTCCTCTGTATTCTCATAACAATACTAACTGGGACAGCTAACAGGTAGAAGTCCTTGTCTTCTTCCCCTATCCACCCTCCTGTGTTAGAACTGATGCCCTCACCCTAAAATCCATCTTGGCTGCCCCTATACTGCTGAACACCTGGGGTACAGCATCCTCGTAGGGGAGTTTGAAAGCAGCACTCAGCAAATTGCAGGTTTCAAAGCCCAAGAGGCACATCAGCATTCCATAGCTGGGAAGTAATATTCCCCATAAGCTTTTCACCTTCCTGAGAGGTTGTGGAGGGGGAAGGAAAAAAAATAAAGCAGGCAAACAAACCAAGCATTTCTTGTTTATCCTGAAAAGCATGGGCTAATGACAAACTCCTGGACCAGCTACCACGGGAAAAAAAAAATAAAAATCTGTGCTTTAACATCACAAAGCAGAGCAATGCTGCCAAGACACATCATATTTTGCGCCTAATTAATTCTCCTTAATCTGTACAGACACTGGGCGCACAAGTGAGGGTGCATGCAAGTCACTCCCTGTTGTGATGCAAGAGCAGCACTTCAGTTCAGCAGCACTGTGGGCTCTGGGCAGACAGCACACAATCACCACGCTGCACTGACACCTCCCAGAGTGGAGCTGGGGAGTGCAGAATTGCACCAGGAGCAGCGATCAGAGATGCGTTGGAGCCCCTGAGCTGCACGTGACGCCGTGTCCCAGAGCAGCCTCCTCGACAGCATTTGCTTATCAGAAATAATTAGAGGTAGGAATGCTGGAACCGTGATTATGAAACAAATGGTAAATCTATTTGCTCAGATGAAATGTATCGAAAGCTCCATCTCAGCACAGCTGGAGACTGAGGTGATACCGCAAGGATAACAGCTCGAGATCCAATTTCATCTTTCATGATTAAAAAATGAGCAAGAAAGTGTTTTATGAAATGTGAAGGTTAACAAATGTTCCTTCGCAAGCAATGACGACAGTTTATCTTTTGAAACAAATGATCAGGCCATAGTCTGCTAGCGACTCCTGAAGTACAGCAGGCAGGCTTCTCCCAGAAGCCTGCATGCCCTCACTGCTCAGACATGTGCCCAGGCATTCCTGTGTGTGAGTGCCTACACCTTGGTGCCCCTGCGCTGAAGGAAGGGGTGTGCTGCCCTGCACTGGGGGTCATGGCATGGGCAGGAGCCGGCCTGCTGCAGGTATGTAAGCCAAGCCCCAGCACAGGGTGGGGAAAGCATGTTCTGTGCATAGCAAAGCTCGTGATCCTGAACTGCATGCTTAGCTGAGGGGCAAACGCAAAGACACCGGTCTACAAAGAGACTGAGAAGCACCAATGTTCTCCTGGCCATTACACAACAGCACTCCTTTTGGACTTCAGATAAGAAAGATGCAGCCGTTTACATTTATGGGCTCCAAATCAATCCAACCACTTATTTTTCATGTGATGGTCAACATACTAATCAGCAGCATAATGTGACACCACTATTATTCAAAGAGATGGAGAGGAAGTCAGTTTCTTTGGCTGTCCTCCAAAGTACTTGCTTCTTGGTATGAGTGCAGTGTGAAGTACAAAACCTTATTTTTAGCAATGAGTTCTGCTAACATTTGACGAGTAGAACAAATATCTTGCGTTGTTTAGTGAGGTGAAAAAGATGTGGGTTGAGGCTCTAAAACTGTTAAAGGGAAGAAATTAAATATGATGGAAGTGGGTAATTCTCCAAGAAGAAAAATTCAAATTACCAGCAGTGAACTGACAGTAAAGAGGATGGTGACAGCAACTTTAGTTCCTTCTATTAATAGAACTAATAGTTAAATTGAGAGAGAAAGAAACAATATGTGTGGAAGACAACAGGAGATGCTTTAAGTTAAAAAATTGTTTTATACTTCCACAAAATATGGGACTATATGGCATTGACCCTTGTTGCTAAATGTGTTCCACAGAAGCAGGACACAACCTAGTGGTGTAGGAGAAACCTCCATAGTGAGCACTCTTGAGTTTGCTCATTAGCAAGAACACAAACCATCACAGCTGTAAAGCTGGCCAAACCACTGAATGCAAGCCAATTACTGTGTTGTGGAACTGATGCTCTTTCTTCCGACCCAACTCTCGCTTAAATTTCCTAGGTTATAACAATTACAATGCATCTCCCAGCAGCAACAGCAAAAGTAAAATACTTCTAGCAGTCAGAAGTGCTCTAACAGATTGCATTCCGATAGGGGAAAAATATTTAGAGCAGGACATGGGATGCTTCTTGGGGTCTGCACTCCTGGCTTCTTTCCTACCTTGAACACAGAATTCTGGTGTGTCCCAAGAAGCCATGCTATCCATGGCCCAGAGAGAAGATCACGGATTAAATTTTTCTTCTTCCAAGCAGTATTCTCAGGATAAACCAAGAAAAGAAAGAGATGCCCCACAACTGTGATGGAGCAGTGATAAAAAAAGTTCTTCTAAGTTTAACAGCATCAATAGTGCTCTATTTTGGCACTCTAATGTGTCTGATTTGATGATACATATTATTTTTGTTATGAAACTAGAGCAAACCAAAATCAATATGGTGCTCGTTAAATGGATGAGACACAAGAGTAGCTTGTGAGTCTTGGAAAGCAAATGTAGATGGAATCACCACCCAGCTGAAGAATTTCTAGTAGTATTCGTAGAGCAACACTGAGTATCTATCTTTCAGGTCAGATTAAAAAAAATAATACACTGTTTATCAAGTGCACTTACAACAAAGTCTGGAGAAGTGATAAATAATGAAGAGGAGGATGACTGATGGAGTGACCAGGACTGCTTGGCAGGCTGGGTGCAAACAAGATATGTGTTTTAATAAAACCATCTATAAAGAAACACTCCAGAGACGAATGCAGCCTGTATCTTGTGGAAGGAAAACTATTTCTAGAAGAAGCTCTTCTGAAAGACTTAGGGGGTCCCTGTGAATACATTCCAACTGTGAGCAAAAGTCCTTGTGTGAGAAGGATGCTTTTGTACATTGCCTCAAAGAAAGGGAAGGCGGCAGCTCCCAAATGGTGGCTATTAGATCTCTGTCTTCTATTTGGTCAGTTTCTTGTTTTAGAGAGAGAAACTCGCATTTAAAACTTTTACTGAGAAAACATTTATGGAAGATTTTCAGGAGTATGTGAAGGACCTGACTACCTAAGCACCCTCTGCACACCGAAGGTTAGCCAGCAATGCACCTCAATTTCTGAAACCAGCGTGGCGGTTTCTGTTGTTCTGGCTGAGTTTGCTCAAGAAATGTTATCAGTCCTTTAGGAAAAAAAACACAACACATTGGCTACGGATCAAGTACACTCTTCCAGATGAAAAACAAAGCAAAGCTTGGAGTGTTTTGCAGTGTGACCCTCATAAGAATGTTTGCATTAGGGCTGCTGCCTTATTAAAATTCATTTGTGTTTATCGGAAGTAGTTTGTAAAAAACAAACCATACACACCAGGTAAAAAAAGTGCCCTGTTGTTACATATTGCAGACACATACTGACAGGGTAGCTCCAACTTAAGAGTTGGTCTCTGCAGACTTCCTCACGAACAAGAAAATTTCTGAAGTTGATCTGTAATTTTGGAGTGTTTTGCTCTGTTTATTTAGCAAAGAGACAGGAGCCCCATGGGAGGAGCCTCACTGAAAACAAGCACCAGAAGCCTATCTAAAAGCCAGCGCTGAAAGCGAAAAAGGTAAAAGCTTGGTCAGATCACAGAGTCATAGCATGTCGGCCATTGTGCAGGAGCATAGCATCATAGATACTCAAGAAGAATTAATGGCCTCCTCTTTACTTTCTCTGAAAGATCTTTTTGCTTTTGTTGGGGTACAACAGTAGAGTTCAGATGTGCCCTCTTCCTAACCTCCCTGACTATGCAATACATGAACCGCAAACCAAAGGCCACGCTCAGCTAGGGCACAACCTCCAGCCTCTCTGGGGCAGGGCCAATTGTGCACACGTGCACATTTTCACAGTAGGGGCTAGAAAGGCAAACAGCTGGCAGCGAACTGAGGCGCTTGGGAAGAGCCCACGCTACATGCCTCTATTTACCTCAGGTAATCTCTGCGGCAAAGGATGAGATTTGCTTTTGTGTAAAGGGTTGATCCAACCTCTCCAAGACGGCAGTCGCAGCAGGCGCACTTCAGGCAGTCTTCGTGCCAGTACTTATCCAGGGCCTTCAGCAGGTACCGGTCCTTGATCTTCCGGTTGCAGCCAGCACAGCCCTTCTGCTTCCCCTTGGGTTGTACGGATAACATCGGCACACCTGCAACACAACCAGACAGCGGGGTTACAAGACATTCAGACAGCTTGAGCAAGTTTCCTGCACTCGGGGCTGCGCTGGGAGCAGCAGTGCAATCCGTGAGCAAATTCTGCTGCTGCTCTCACTGCAAGGAGCTCATGCTGCAAGAAGATGGTGGTCAGAGGAACTTCATTTGCTGCCGCAGGGTAGGTAGGAACGTGACACCTGCAGTTTTTCCCCAAGGGTAGGGCTGACACACAAAAAAAAGTTGTTGTTTTTTTTTTTTTAGTTATTATTTATGAACATTTTGCAGCAGAACCAACCCGCTGCAATTCTAACATTTGTTTTTCCTTCATTAGCAGTGCCCTCGCATTGGTAACTGCCCATGATCAGAAGGGCCAAGCATGTGCATCCCTGCCCTGCCCCATCCGCCACCTTGCCTGGATATAGCTGCGAGGAAAGGAGAGGTGTGGGTGTAAAGCTGGGGCATGCCACTGGTTCTCCTCCTTTATAATCCCCACTGGAGACACAGGTTTAACCAACGCAAAGCAGATGAGACGTTGTGGCTGGGGTAGCAGCACCACTGGTTGTATGCCCTTACCTGAAGTTAGGCCAGTTCCTGTAGCAAGCTGGATGTCCCAGAAAGTAACAGCTTGATAATGGAATTATTAACAGTCCCTTGGCCCGAATGGAACAAGCCAGTGCTATTGCAGTAAGTGACATTTGCTGCTTTCCTTAAAAGCCAGGGTGACCCGGTGGTGGTGGCTAATGCGCAGCCCATGTAAAACCCACCGCTCGTACAGTAATAATTGCTTTGTCAGAGCCACGAGCAGACGACAATAGCACTTAAGACACCTCCACACCAACAGCGAGGCATCGATCTGGTTGTTATCAAAGTAGTCCCAGCAGCACGGAGACGGGTCAAGTAACATTGGAGAAGTCTCCAGACTTAAAGAGCCCTCCTGCTCGACGCTGCGGCACCAGCAAAGTCAACATCGGCAAATTTCTGATGTGAGTGGCAAATATGCAATAATGAAGTGGAAACTTAAACCTGTTTTTGAGCAGCACACGTGCAACCCAGGACGACACAAATGGGGGTTTCAAAATGCTGGTTCTGGATAACTGGAACCATTGAGCCCTCCTGCCTCTCTGCCAGTTCGGCTCCCTGCTCCTCCAAGCACTCCATTGTCTTACGAGAGGCTTCCTCCAAGAAGGGGAATGTACTACTTTGATTTTCTTCTAATAACTAGCAAAGGAACAGATATATATATTTTTAAACAGTACCTTAAGCAAGGAAAAAAGCAATGTATTTGGTCAGCTTTCAGCAGGGGGCTTTCTAATGAAAAAAGGTACCATTTCAGAGATCATATGATGTTCAAAGCTGCTATTCCCACTCAGATAATAACGAGCAAGGTCAGCCTCTGCTGGTCAGGTTCAGTGTTTTGAAATTACATCCTGGTCTGTGAGGTTCCCTCCGCCAGCCCAGCGCCGCAGAGCACACACACCGGGCCAAGCGGCGGCTGCAATTAGCTGGTGAGCTGACACAGCAGGCAAGGCGTGAAACAAAATTTCAAAAACTGCCAAACTCCATCAGCACGGGCTCCTCGCATGCCTGCCATGTCATTTCCAAGCAACAAGAGAGCAGCATCTCAGAAGCTTAACCCCTTTCGCAGTTGGAGGTGAGTGGAGAGAGGGCACAGCCAGCACTGAACCCGTTTCCTCTGCCCGCCTCCTTCCAGCAAACCCCAAACAAGCCAGACTTTGCAGGCAGAAGCCACCACCTGCAGAGCTGCTCTTCCTTTCTGGAAATTTCCCCACTGCAAAACCACAGTGCTGCTTTGTTCCTCTGCGCAGATTTTTTCCACCAAGATCCCCCGTTCAGTGAGGTAACACTCTGGTGCCCTAACCAGAAAGAAGGGCTCACTCCAGCCACGTGCACCCAGAAGGCAAAGAGCAGCAGTGCGGAGCTAGGGAGACAGATAGGCACTCATCCACTGACACACACAGTGATGGAGAATGCTGGCCAGTCACTACATTCCAAAAAGACCATCAGTCGAACTCCATGGCGCTCATCTTCCATCTCCATCTTTCCTTAAGAGTGGTGGATGAAGCATTTCTATTCTTGGCTGCCTACGCTCCCTTCTTTGCCCTTTACAACTTAATAGACTTGCTGCTGGTTAATACAAAACAAAACCTGTTCTGAGTGCTCAGAGCTCCAATGCACATTAAAAAATTATAGACGCCACCTCTGGACATACTTAAATTTATGGCTGTGTCTAAAGAGGCAGTTATTGCAGTCAGTAATCTAAACTTTACCTCCGTTCACAGGCGGGTGAACCAGCTGTAATCAGCCCATATCTTCTCAGCTGGGGTCCTCCTGCAAAATTATTCTGCTGGCTTTGTAAGATGAGCGCCCACTAAGCACACCTCCAAGTTTTTCTAGCCTGTTTTACTGACATTTCTATTCAACACGGCAATCAGCTGCAACTCCTCTAAGGGCAATGCTCATAAAGCCTTGTTTCCAAGACTGCCCCGCAACTTTCTTATAGATGGTGGACCTTCTAATAACAGTTATCTGCGATGGTCCTAAGGAGTACATCTCCGTAGTGCTCTGATCTGCATGAGAGTGACTGGTCCCTCTGAATGCATGGAAGCTCGCCACCTGATTTCTTTAATGCAACTCTAAAGGTTAATTGGTCTGGAAGAGCGATGTGGGACTGCTGGCTAACGATAGGCGCCTGGAGGCTTTGCAGCCTTGCTGTTCTTTCTGCAGGCAAGAGCAGGGCAGGTGACATCAGCAGGACTTCTCAGCCCACTCTGGTACCAAGGGGCTGCAGGAAGCACTGCCACCACCGCCTCTGTGGGATGGGATGCAGAAGGGAGCACCCAGTGAGCAGAGCCCAGTCGTTCAGCTGCAGGAGGACCTCCCCCAGCTCCCCCAGGAGTCGGCCAAGTCCTCCATTTGCCATTTATGACAGCTAATTAGTTATTCTATTCCAAATCTTTGCTTTAAATAAAAGAACTAATTATACACAAAGGTCAGTCCCCCACCTCCTGTGAAGCACACATAATTGGCTTATTTCCCCAACACTGTGTGCAAGTTTCACACAATGCTTTCGGGCAGATGGCTTTAACACTTTCCCTCGGCAAGTTCTCTCTCCTTTGTTCCAGTTTGGATTTTTGTTTGTTTGTTTGTTGTTTAAAGTCTCAAGTCTTCTCATTATATAAAGTCTTACAATACAATAAAGTCTTCTCATTAGCTACCTCTCCCATAAAAGCCTGCTCAAAAACAAAGCAGAGAACTAACAATTTACAGAACTTACAGAAGTGATCCTTACAGGGATGCAGCATGCCAGCACAAAGAGCAATTCTGGTTCCAAGACTGGTGTTTCAGGAGCTGGGCACTTAAGCCTAGGTTTCAGAGTTCCACTTGAGGGAAAAATGTTTATTTCTAGCACAACACCCTGTAAATGAGCTGACCTCCTTTTGCCTACTAACAAAAAAAAAAAAGAGCATTTGGCTGCAAAAGATGAAAAAGTAACTGAAGAGTAGGAGTAATCTTATTAACTCCTGTCTCATCGCAATAAAAAAGCTGCAGTCTTGTGTCTTTTATCAGAGGATCTGGTATCATTTAAAAGCTTTAGAGCCCTGCATCACCCATTTAAGTAAATGCAGACAGCCGCTGCCAAAAAGATGCAGTGAATTTTCATTCCCTTAAAAAGAAGCTCCCTTTGTGTTCCCAGTGTTGTATTACTCACCTTCTACGAATATTAGGCCCTGTGAAAGAAGGCAAACCATGCACTTCCCCTGAACTGAGCACGCTGTCCAGGATGCCTTCATTGAAGGATGATGGCCAGCAAGGTGAAGCTCATCATTTCATCAGTATATCCAATTAAAACGTTACCTTTGGAACACTGAGTACTTGCAACTAACCACTCACGAACGAGCCTTCGACCATTCATCAAAATTATTCAGTGAATAACCACAGTCTTTTTTCATTTCCAGTTTCATGGTGCAATACACAGTAGGTGATTTCTACAGTGACTTTAGCAATTCATTTGCGGTATTCTTTCTTCTGCGTCATTACTGAATAAATTCCCCAAGCAAGGCAAAAAAAAAAAAAACAACCAAAACCCAAACAGTTGGAGAGTGTGCTTAATAGGAGAAGCAACATTTTGATCAGTATTTTTGTTTTAACTATGCTATAATCCTCCTCCCAGTAGCATAGCAACTTTGGGGCTCTCCAGTTCTGAATGAGCCTGAGTGAAGCACACTGTAGACTCTCATTTCCCACAGCAGCTTTCCTCGAGGGTTTACCTCCTGCTCCAACCTCACTATGGACAGACCCTGTTTTCATGTCCTTTGCTCAGCGATATCCATTCACATCACTGGAATCAGTACCAAAGCAGATCCCAGGCTCAGAGTTAGCATCTAAATTTCCATTTTCCCCCAGAGTTCTGAGACTTCTAGTGCTTGGTTTAAGTCTCTTCATTGCAGAGTTGCCCTCACCTGAGGACAACCTGTCGCTGTAAGGGAACACAAGGCAGCAGGCTGAACGCAACTACCTTTGCAAAAGTTTCTATACATCATTCTTGTAAGCAACATTTTCCCTGTGCTCGCAAAACACACCTGTTTGAGCTTTAATTTTTCACAGTTGGCATGTGCCCAAAGCTTATTCTTAGCACGTGTAATGTTTCAGTAAAATTTATTTTTACTGCTTGAAGCCCTGGGAACAGTGAAAAAAAAAATAAAAAAAAATGCAGATTTCTTGTACCTTAAACCTTCACCATTTAGCACTCTACAGTCTAGCAAGGGTCCTGATTTTTGGTGGCCAGTTCCCTCACTCAGTTTCTGTAGTAGAATGAAGTCTGGTACAGAGGGTACAGAGAGAATGCCCACAAACCACCCACCCAGGGCATGAGTAATATCACAGATGTGTTCACTCAGGATGATGAGCCTGGAACTCTTCCCATACTCCTCACTACTCCTCTGCTTTGCAAGTGACCACTGAGGAGACACTGATG